CTTATGGACCAATTGATTTCAAACAACATGTCCCTTTTATTCCTTTTTCTTGATGTAAAAATAGGATAGGAAAAAGGAAGTGGCAAGTAGCATTGACAATCCACCTTGAGCTTGACATTAGGATATAAAGCAAGTATCATATGGGTTACCATGGCCGTGATTGAATCTATCTTCAACAATGTTATGTGTCTTTATGTGAAATTGACATTTAGCATACCATATTCCCATGTCTTTGCTTTTTATAAATATATAGTTTTATCGTATTAAATTTGAGTTGTTTATACGATAAGTATACACATATTATAAAATCGATCGATGTGTTTTAAATATGTTTATGATAGATTTAATTGATATGACGATTAGATTGATGGAATGATTTAATTGATATGATACATATTCTTTAATAACTTATCATCGCTAAAATGGTCCAACAACATTCTACCAGATACAATATTAATCTTGTGATAACTATCACCCTCCAATTCTGAAATGAAACTACAACTCCCCATACCCTTAGTGTGGTCCAAGAAAGAGCTACGTTCATATACTCAAAATCATAATATATGTTATTAGCCACATTTGGGGGTTGAGTAACCTTACTTTGGGGGAGAGGGGGTCAATGGGGTCCCCTACAAGTATTGTCTTAGTCCTTTTGAGCATCGAAGAAATGGGGTGGAAAATGGTGACTCAAAAAAGGATAAGGAGAAGTGGGGTTTGGGTAAACTATGCCAGATAAAGTTTGGTGTCTGATGTGCTTTAAATGGAACTGGTTTCAAAAGCTTGGCAAATCACCCATCAATGGCCGGCAAGATTGTAACTTGATAAAGGGCTGTACTGTTCAATTTGAATCAATGAAGAACGAGGCAACTGCGCACGTGATACTGATGTGTTCCATGGTAGAAACTAGAAGGTGGACCCTTGGTGTCAATGGAACCCTAGGGTACGAATGGGGATGATCGAATAATCAGAATTTATCGAGTTTCGATCGATCAGATGTTATAAGACAGTTATTTTGATGAAAAGTCAAGCTTAGGGTCAGCTAGATAACGAGTTTAAATTGAAAAATTGAAGATTTAAGAGTAAGAACCTTAAGAAATTGATCACAATAAAATTTTCTCTTTGATACATTAAATCATATAGTATATGTTCTAAAGACTCTTAATCATTTGACATTGAATGTTTAAATATCCAACTCGAATCTAAAACCGTTAATATTATAAATAAAGAAACCAAAACCATAAAATAATGATTAATGGCAGGTCTACTTATGTTCAGTTACAAACAGTATGTGGGACAAATAATTCTTATATTGACGGGCAGCATAGCCGGAGCCATATGCTTTAGGAGACATGCCTAAGATATTTATGAATCGGATGGGTTAAATTTGAATAAATTTTTTTATTGAATCAATATGTAAATTCTAATTATTAATAAGTTCATTTATGTTCGTCTGTCACGTCATCATTTATATGTAGATGATCGTTTCAGTATCGTAATAATCAATAATAATTTTCATCGATAAAAGTTTCTAATGATTAATTTCATAGGTTTAAGAGCTACATTGAATGAGAAAAAAAATCAAGGGGTCATATTATTCTTTAAGAAAAGTTGGAGGTCTTCAAGAACTATTAAATCGGAAATTTAAATAATTAATGTAAAAGGTCAATATTTGGTCAAACCCCTTTTACACTCGATGGATTAAGGAAAATCAAATGTTGAAATTAATTTTTTATTTTTTATTTTTCAGTAAATATCTTCTAATTTACTATTTTTAATATCAACCTTTGATTTTTCATCATTCAATGATCCTAAAGTGATGTAAAATAATTTAATTTTATAGTATATAATTAAAAAATAGCCCCAAGCACGCACACACGCGCACAATAGGTCGAGTTGAGTTCAAATTTTTATCTAAAAGTCAGGTCAAGTTTCGAGTTGAGTGGAACTTTTCAAACTCTAAATTGAATCGAATAACAAAAGAGGAGATATTGTACTTAAATAAAATTGATCCACATACTTGAATAACATAAAATTAAAAATTATCTAATCCAAACCAACCGAAAAATTTAAGAATGTCGAATTGATGTAAACAAGATTCACCCAAAATCGAGGTAAGCTGATGTACAAATAAGTGCATGCTCCAGGGTTGATTTGTCAGGCAGACAAGCAGAGATCGAAGGGGGCCTCCTCCATGTTAACCCGCATTTCATCAAACACTTGTCACTCTCATTCACCAATCACCCATTCATCATCCCTCCCAAATCCCATCTACCCCTCTATATATAATCCCATTCTCCCACAAGAACAAACCATCTTCAGAACCCATACAAAGCACCATAAACCCAGTTTTTTGTTGTTGTTGTTGTTGTTGTTTACCTTGGCGTGTAATGTCGATCTTCTGCTTGAACATGAAATCAACAGGGATCCCAAAGCTCCGGCTATGGCAGAGATGCTCGAGGCTCGTGAAGGAGCAGCGAACCCGGTTTTACATTATATGGAGATGCACCGTGTTGCTCCTGTGCTGGGAGGAGTAGCCGTGTTGAAAGCTCGAATTATGTATGGCTAAAGTGTAGCTTTGGTGGAGGTGAATTTTGGGTAGGTCAAAAATTGTATACAGATTCTTGTAAAATATGTTGTCAAGGTATGGTGGGTTTTCTTTGTTGGCCTCAAATTTTGTTTTTCCAGCTCTTTTTACTTGCTTCAACAATCCTCCTCCTCCTGGGAAAATTCTGAAACAAAAATGATTGGCATTCACTAATTTGGGTGCTGTAAAAATTTATAGGTTAGATCTTGAGATTTCGAATTTTTCGACTCCTTACAAAACAATTTATAAAGTATCGTCAATAAGATAATCGATCGAACATCTAATTTAATTATTGACTTTCAAGTAATAAGCAGTTTGATATCAGATCTCGAGTTAAAGTCTTTATGAAAGTAGAAAATTTCTGTTAAAAATTCAGCTAAAGTCAATTATACGATCTGAGTTGGTCCAAATTAATCAAAGTAAAATCTTAGAACCGACATTATCTATGGATCAAAGTTCTATCTCTACTATATTTAGATTCTTTCGTGCATGAACATAAATATTTTTTTATTAATAACTAAAAAACAGATTTTTTGTATTTTTTAAATTTTGTCAAGTAATAAACAAGGAAAAAAATATTTTTAAAATTTTTAAAATTTTCCTGTAAAAGAATCAGAATAGAGAGAGAGAGGTTATTTTCTACCCTGAATTTTCAATTTACTAAGCAGCAAGTGCTCCACTCTTACTTTTGATTTCGGTAACGACAATTCCTCTTGGAATGTTGTCATTTTGTGGTGGTAATTTTAAGGTGACGGTGTCAGTCATTCTAATACTATTTTTGACCAAGCAAACTTTGTCGGGGGGGGGGGGATTTTGGCTTGACTAAAAAAATAAAAATAAAGTAAAAAGTCAATAGAGGTCCCTATACTTTTAAAAATAATTAATGTGATCATCGTATTATTTTTCTCTCAATGTGTTTATCCAACTCAAAAAATAAGCCCAACATGGCTCTTGGCCAACACTTTTCGTCGTTTGATCGTTACAGTTACGGGTGCTGATATGACGATCCACGGTGTTGATGTGGCAACCCATCTGTCATGTTTGGGTTACTAATTTAGTATATCTGTCGTGTTATCTGCCATGTTATCAACCACCGTGGACTGTCATGTTAACATCGTAGACCACAATGTCAGCACCGTAAACTATCACATTAGCATTGTAACAATCAAACGTCGAAAAATATTGATCAAATGGTCACATTAAACTTATTTTCTGAGTTGGAGGACCATATTGAAGAAAATAATAATATGAGAATCACATTGATTTTTTCCAAAAGTATAAGGAATTCTAATGTCTTTTTACCTATGTATTTTTAAGTGTTTAATATTTTGATTAAAATTTATATTTATCATTTTATTTTGTTATTACTTTAGCGTCGAATTATAAACGTTCGTAAAATAAAAAAAAAGCAATCACCTAAATTTAAAAAAAAAGTAAACTAAATGCTTACTTGTTGAACTTTACTCTCTCTCTTATTTCACTCATTGTGTTTTTCAATTTTTTTAACGTTGACCTAAACTAAAAAGCAACCGATCCGATATTGATCGGACCGGAAATCTAAACGATCCGGTGTTAGCCCAACCCAAAAAATCAACTGATCCGATATTGACCAAACCCGATATTGACCCACCCAAAAATCAATCAATCCAAACCGAAAAACAACTGATCCGATAATCACCCGACCCGAAATTGACCCAACCCGATTTACCGTACACCCGAACTAGATCCGAACCAAATCCGATCCGACCCGTACAAGATTAAACCGAATATAATCTAGACCCGAAATAACACGATCCGAATGAATTGTTTGCCACCTCTAGATTGATTGCAAGAAGAAAATATCATTGAAATAATTAATCAAAAAATTAGGCAATAAAAGATAAGATTAGGTAAAAGAAATTGTATAATATATTCTATGTTGCGATAATAACAACAATACTTGTACAACTAACTGAATTGCCTTCTTGAAGCTAATACATGTACTCTCTATGAAATATTTATATGATCAATAGTCAATCTTTCAAGATTTTTAAGTGTTTCTTTCTAATTTGAAATATTTTCTTATTTATTTCTCGAGTTTTATGGATTAATATCTAAAAAGTTAAGATTGTGATCTTGCTTTCTGGGAATTTTATGGCTTGATTGAGTAATAATTTGTAGAGTTGGCTTTCCCAATTTTGCAAAGCTTCCGGTCAAAAGGTTAGTGTAATATACAGTTACAGAAGGTAGACCAGAGACCATTCGAGCTTCACATAGTTCCAAACTTTGGACAGGGTTAGCATGTAAATGGTCTGACATGAGCAAACGAGTTTCATGGTGCATCGTAAATGGGCGGGATGTTGATTTCTGGTTCGATGCGTGATTGGATGACTTTGGCCCGCTTATAAACCATGTCACAACGACGGGAGCTATAGGAATGCAAAGAGTAACCGTTGCTGATATGGCCGACGATGAAGGCAACTGGAAATGGTCACAATTCAAACAGCATCTTCCGATAAAGGTGAATCTATGTTTGGCTGAAAAAAGGGACTAAAACCACAGTTTGGGCCAGATGTGATAGGATGGAGTCTAAGGGAGGATCGTCGATTCACAGTTAAATCGGAATGCTCTCACAAAATTCCGGGGCCTGCAGAAGGTAAGAATGTTTCTTTGACTGGTGTGTTGTGACCAAGTGTTGACAAATGCGGAACGCAAGAGACGGAATCTCACAATGAACATCGGCTTCCCCTTATGTGCGAACCCGGTGGAAGATATTGATCATCTTCTACGCAAATGCCCGTCGACAAGGACCTGGAGTGCAGTTGTAAAACGGGAACGGCTGGTAGACTTGTTAAGTACGGATATGAAAGCCTGGATCACCATGAATATCCCGAATGCAAGAGATTTTGTTGGGACGATTGAGAACTGGGATATTCTTTTCGTTGCAATAATATGGAACATTTGGCTCCAACGTAATGTGATAGCCTTGGATAATCCATTAGAAGATGAATGTCCAATATTGGAGAAAAGTAAACATTGGGTGGAGGTAATAAGCAAAACATTGGCGAAGGCTGCGATTCGGACCATTTTAGTGCAACGAGAGAACTCTAACAGCATTAGATGGCAACCTCTACCCAGTGGGTGGATCAAAATTAATTCGAACTAAGCTAGACACAAGGTCTTAGGTCTTGCGTCGTGTGGAGGTGTGATCAGGGACAATGAGGGGAAGTGGTTAATGGGTTATTCCAAATTTATTGGAGTATGTTCAGTTTTAGAGACTGGGCTCTAGGGGGTATACTTAGGCCTGAACTGTGCGTGGCAGCTGGGTAGGAAACAAATCCTATTGAAATCAGATAGTTTAGAAGCAATCAAGGCTGTAGAGAGAGCACGATTAGGAGAAACTCGAGTTACTATCTTGAGTCATATCGGATCCCTACTACAACAAGACTGGGATGTGAAGACCCAACATATTATGAGATAAAGGAATACCGTAGCAGATTGCATGTCCAAAAACGCAGACAGGAACAACCATGATTACATCAGATTTGTCGAACCTCATGCTGAAGCAAGAAGGATGCTGCTCGTGGAAGCTGGCAATGGAGTTGTTTAATTATCTAGTTTGTTTTTCATTCTTCACCAACAAAAAAAATAATTTGTAGAGTTTTTTATATCAATCCTTGGAAAAACATGATTATTTTTCTTTATATATATATATATATATATATATCAGGTCAAAATTTTATATATTTAACCCCTTAAAGATTTAGTCTTTAACTTTAATTGGTCATTTATAAGTTATATACTTGTTAAATTTTGATCTTGAATCCTGACTCAAATAATAGTTATGAAATTTGTTAAATTAAATACCATTTAGTCCCTGTATTAGCCATTGTGCTCTCAGTTTAATAATTTTTAGTACTTGTAATTTAGTTATATTACATGTGTACTATCTGAGGCAAGATTGAATTTAAAAATTAAAGGATTAAAATTGTTTAAATTAGAGTATAATGACTGAATCCACAACTTATATATAGTGCATGGACTAATTAAAAATTTAACAATTATTCGGGGGGCTGTATAGAATACAAAAGAATTATTTTTTACCTCCAAAAGTTTTGTAAAATTGTTTAAATCCGTAATAAAATGTCAGAGTGTACTGTATAGAATACTTAGCGTGTTCCCATCAATGAAGAAATGAATTATTCTTGAAATTGTGAATTGGAAGTTGTTGCCTTTACACAACTTATGCATATATACTTTACCGAAGAAATGAATTCTTCTAAAGTATAGTTTTGGAGGCAACATGTATGTATGTATGTATGTGTTTTCCCTCACATGACAGATCAATTGCCTTCATTGCCATTCTCCATTGTCCCATCAAACTCTTTCTTTTTACATCAATTTCCACATTTTCTATCTTTTGTGTCCTTTGAGATGGGTTTCGGACTTTTACGTGAATGTGATCACTATTCCTGCGAGTATGTTGAGAAGGTTGAAGGGAAATGTTGTGGAGAATGTGGAGGGAAGATCTCGGTCTCCCATGGTGCCTTTGCTTGTCAAGACTGCGACGTTTGCCTGCACATCTCATGCGCGGTTAAGGAGCATCGTCGTCTGTCTCATACGATTAAGCACCCCCTCCACCAGCACCAGCTTGAACTAGAATGGCTTCATAAGGATTTCGTTTGTGAGAAATGTTTGTATATATCTACTGGCTACGGATACAGATGTTATTCCTGCGATTTCAGTCTTGATTTCGCCTGTGCTTCTTCGGCCGGTGGTGAAGATGGGAAGAAAAAGACAATCCAGCATTACAGCCATCGTCACAGGCTGAGCTTCTTCAAATATAGGAAGATACACGAAGAAGATTTGGATTGTTTCTGGTGTGAAAAGCATCTATCGGGAGTGTGCTATGGTTGTACGAGGTGCGCCTTCTATCTTCATCTGGTGTGCAGTGATAAGATACCCAGGACACTTGCTCATCCTTTTCATCCTGTTGGTCACCCTCTTCGCTTATGCTATGTCGATGGGAAGCTGAATTGCAATGCCTGTAAAAGACAGGGTTTTACTTTTGATGATATTGGGTATATGTGCCAGAAGTGCAGCTTCTGCCTTGAAATGAGCTGTGCTAAACTCTTGCCCACTCTAAAACTTGCCTGCCACCCTCACATTCTCACTTATTTCAGAGACTGCACTTCTTTGTTGCATTGCCGTACCTGTGGCAAGTATAGCAGTGGTGCTGATAGTATTTGTCGATGTGTGCAATGCGATATTAGTTTCCATCTCAAATGTGTTGTACCATCCGAAGCTACATCAAAGTATCACAGGCATCCACTTATCCTAACCGAACCGGTCAAAGAAGACGATTCTGATGAATTTTGTTGCGATGTTTGCGAGGAGGAAAGGGATCCGAAGCATCCTGTGTATTACTGTCAAAGTTGCACATTTGTGGCTCATATTCAATGCCTACTCCCTCATGATGATAATGAGGTAATGCTTCTTTTCACCATTCTATTTAATTTTTACAATCAAAAGGGGAAATGTATAATTCCAATTTGTTAATGTCTATGCTATTTTCAAATGATTTTTCATAAAAAAATACAAATAAATAGAAGAAGTATGAATTAAATTAGTGAAATTCATTGGCTTTGATTAGACTCTCATGATTAATATTTGTTTGATGAATAGGATAAAATTACATCCTCCATGGAAAACGAGGAAGCTTTGTCTGAGAAGGAAATGGAGCAGAATGAAGGGACTAATGGCATCCACACTCTGGTTTGCAACTATTCAATATATTAAACTCAACATTCTTTGGTCTCATTCAAGAAGAAATATGTGATGAAATTGTTATCTACTTATAATATATAAATCATTCTGCCTATGCAAAATCAAGAAATATATATAAAATTCTCAAGAAATGAGTTTGTTCATCCTTTGATATTATTGTTTCTTGTATGCAGTTTCAACCTATCGTCCACCAACACCAAATGTATGAGGTAACCAAAGAGTTGAAAGACAAAAAATATTGCGTCGGTTGTCGTCTGGTACTTAAGGGTGCAAGCTACTTCTGTAAAGAATGCAGTAGTGACTTTTACCTGCATGAAGAATGCACTAAATTGCCATACGAGATACGACACCCTTCTCATTCTAGCCATCCTCTTTACCTCTATACTTCATATTGGAGAGACAGATTCGTTACATGTGATGTGTGTAAAGACATTTGTCCTGGCTTCAAATATTCTTGCGAGCAGTGTAATTTCATTCTTGATGTGAAATGCGCTGCTCTAACTGCTCATAAAATTGGGGTTTCAAAGGAAAAAAAGATGGATAGAGTAACGGAGTTGCACCATTTCAGCCACGAGCATAAGCTTGTCCTTGGCTACTGTAGTGACCCTATAAAAGAAACAAGATGCACAATTTGTGAATTGTCAATCTTTGGTCCATCCTATTTTTGCCCCAAGTCTTGCAAATTTATAGTTCACGAGTCTTGCCTTAGCCTACCACAAAAGATTCAAGTCCCATTTCATCCAAAACACATGTTGGTTATCCAACAACCATGGGAACATTTAAACCCACAATGTTATGCCTGCCCTTTGCCCATATCAAGACATAAGTTTGCATATAGTTGTGAAGATTGTCAACTTGACCTCCATCCTGTATGTGCTAATTACATAAAGAGACCCTTGAAATGTGAGTCCCACCTAGATGACCTTTATTATTTCGGGACAAATTATCAGTTACTCTTTGCAAATTACTCCTATACATCATGGGAAACAAATTTTGCTTGTCATAAATGTGAAAATATTTGTAGAGGAGAACCCTTTTATCGTTGTCTACAGTGTTCCATCAACTTTCATTTGAAATGCGTTCCCATACCAGACGTTGTTCAATCCAAATATCATCGTCATCCTTTAACCTTGAAGAATTCTTTTGTTGAAGATGATTCTGGGAAGTATTATTGTGATTTTTGTGAGGAAGACAGAAACTCAAATGATCATGTATATTATTGTAAAGAATGTAACGGCCAGACAATCGCTCATATAGGATGTGTTCTGACTAGAGAAGTAAGTTAATTACATCTAAAACTTCTCAATATAAAGATACGATGCTTTTCTGCTATGACAAGCGGGTAACATGATTTGCTCTTGCTGTTAGGTAAAGGACGTCAGCTATGAAGAGAGTTTGCAGAAGAAGCGACTAGAAGCGGTCCGACCACAACCGAGCCAGATGCAAAAAGTTCCTGCCATGGTTATTGGCGTTTGGACAGATGATCGGAATTTGCAACTTAAGGCAATCACGCAGTTTAGGGAATTGCTTTCAATTGGTTAGAAAATTATTCTGAAATATATTTCATTTGATAATGAAATAAAACTTATTCCTTTGTTATTATTTATCATAGAAAAATGTCCACCTATTGACCAAGTGGTACAAGTTGGAGTTGTTCCTCGCCTTGTTGAGTTCCTTGCGAAGGAAAATTTCCCACAACTTCAGGTTGGATTTGTTGAGTTCCTTTGTTATTTATCATGTTTTGTATATTTCAATATTGTTTCTAATTTGATAATTATTTAGTTTGAGGCAGCCTGGGCTCTCACAATTATAGTTTCCGGGACATCTGAGAACACAAAGGTGGTAATTGATCATGGAGCTGTTCCAATATTCGTCAAGTTACTTGGTTCCCCAAGTGCTGATGTTAGCGAGCAGGTATGCATGTGGAATGAATTCATTGAAGTTTTATAATCTTACTTAGTATATATGAAATGTTATATATATATATTGTTTTGAAATCCAGTCTATGAGAGCTTTGGGAAATATTTCTGGTGATTCCCCTACAACTCGTGATGTTGTCCTTGAACATGGTGCTTTGCTGCCTTTGTTGGCTCATTTGAATGAGAATGCTAAACTTTCAGTGTTGAGAATTGCCACATGGACCCTGTCAATGTTTTTACGGGGCAAACCCCGACCCAGCTTTCATCAGGTTAGACCCTACTTCCCTTGTTTTTTGGGGTGAAACTGTTGTTGGTTTGGCAAGTTATAAAACAGAATCACTGTCTTATATCTTTGGATTCTAAGATGGTGGTGGCTTATTTGTCTGATTAAATTGTGCATTCCATTCAACTGCTAACATTAAACTAGAAAGTGATGTGTATAATCTTACTAATTGTCAAGGTTAAGCCTGCACTTCCTACATTGGCACATCTTATTCATTCAAAAGATGAACAAGTCTTATGCGATGCATGTTGGGCACTCTCGTATCTTTCTGACGGCACAAATGACGAGATCCAAGCTGTTATTGAAGTGGGTGTATGCGGGCGTCTGGTGGAACTTCTGCTGTGAGTTAGACTATTTCTGTTGATCGATCTTGAGAGATTCTATTTTGATCATTTTGTTTGTTTTCATTACCAAAATCATAAATTATTTTGCTTCCATAGGCACCCATCTCTTTCGGTACAAAAGCCTGCTCTTCGCACGGTTGGAAATATTGCCTCTGGAGATGATGTGCAAACCCAGGTCATCAGTCATCAGGCATTGCCATGTCTTTTGAAACTTTTGTCAAATAATTATGCAACGAGCGTCAAGCAGGAAGCTTGTCGGACAATCTCAAATATCACATCCGGAAACAGGGAGCAAAAACAGGTAACATTTTGACCTCTAAGATTTGCTTTCATTGATTTGTACAGTGAAACGATATTCGATGGCATGAATTTCACAGGCTGTGATTGAAGCTGATCTTATTGCTCCTCTTCTTCATCTGCTTCAAAATGCTGAATTTGATATTAAAGGAGAAGCTGCACGAGCCATCTCAAATGCGACATCTGGTGGGACTCATGATCAGATCAGGTATGAAAATGGTTTCTAATATATATTAATTGTTTGGAATCATGTCTTGACAGGCTATCAATGATAAATTACCTCATCTGGAGTGGTATATGTCACAAACATTGTAGGTTCCTTGTAAGCCAAGGTTGCATTAAGCCGTTGTGTGATCTTCTCTTATGCCGCGACCCGAATATAGTTAAAGTTTGCTTGAAAGGCCTTGAAAATATTCTCAAGGTAGGAGAAGATGATAAAACTATGGGCACAACCGGAGCAGTGAATCTCTACGCACAAATGATTAGTGACGCCAGGGGTCTAGAAAAGATTAAGTATTTACGTTTTCTTTACAGCAATAATGATATTTATGACAAGTGTAGAGACATTCTTAAGACATATTGGTCGGAGTAAGATGCTCCATGTCCTTTAGGGGAATCAGATTCAGCTATAGTGGAACCATTTGTGTTTACTTTTATAAGCTGTTTGTATTCAAGTTCTTATGAAGATGGGCGTGCTTGCTATAGAACTAAGGAATGAGTCTGTATTTGTCTGTGCTGAAACAACAATAAAACACATTTTAATTTTCGAGCATTTCGAGTTATTTGAGATGTTCGAGTTATTTGAGTCAACTCAAATTTTCGGTCAAATTTATGGTCTTCTTTTTCTCTCCCCTCCTCATAACCCCCAGATCCAGCACCTACATTGGATGCTCATGTTCTGAATGTGCTGCAAGTTGAACTCAATCTTGATATTTTTCAACATTGATGCTATGGACATAAATCCGAACGGTTCACGACGAGTACACCGACTAAATGCATCATATAAAGAAAAACTATGGAAAGGAAACTATATAGAGCAAGCTTATAAACAGTAAACACTTGAGCTAACATAATATTATGAAAAGGAAACAGCTAAGAGCATTCTGAGTTCAATGAAACAAAACTATAGCCTATACAGCAGGAGTAGAGAGTTCAATTGAGCAATTACCACGTAAAATCCATTAAAAATCAGTCATGCATCTATTAAAGATCCTTTTAACATACAAATTGTATGTTGGTTCTTTGATTTTTCTTATCAACAAAAAAAAATCTTAATCACTATAAAATTGTTTGCACTCCATCAGTATTGGTATAAATTTAGTGATTTATTAATGGTGTAGTGTCAAAATTAATCTCTAACATTTACTAAAATGAGGCCAAAATGATAATTTTGGTAAACAGTGGGGGCTATTTTTTGAATTATGCCTTTATTAAATTATTACAATTCCTTTGTAATAATCTTGTTCAACAAGGTCTGCAGAAAATACACACATTACATATATATATATATATACCAAATTTAGGACACACAAACTTTCATAACACTAGACTTGAGCTATAAACAAGATGAAACTGGAAACCAAAGCTAGATTTGAGAGAAGAGTATTTACAGACAACTTAACTCCCATTTATCATACACATACACTTGTGCCCATCTTCAAATACTCACAGAGAAGTTCTTATACACTGCTGGCCCTTCCACCTGAAATTACAATTCCGCGAACAAGACCATTAATATTCGTTTGGGAATTAGGGTTTTAGGAATTTAAATTTTAAAAGTAAAGTAAATAATATTTACATAACAAAGTGGAAATCTAGGAATTGTCTGTCCAGCTCAGTTGGTAGAGTGCAAGGCTCTTAACCTTGTGGTCGTAGGATTGAGTCCCACGGTGGGCAATTCATAATTTGGATGTCTCCCACGGAAGCTGCTCTCAACCTGACGTTGGGGGCAGCCTACTATCCTAGCTCCCTCTTACCCCGTTACATATGTGAATAAGTATCAGCTAAAGTGGAAATCTAGGTATAGAGGTGTCTTATACTTGGTTGACTTGGTTATAGAATGAGTTGTAGGTATCTCTCATCATTGATTCTTGAAATTGTAAATAATTTGTTGATCCACATAAATGCAAAAGGATATTGATATAAATATATATGATTCTTAATAAAATTTATGTATTATTATTGTGATAAGACGCTATTCTCTTGAGAGTTGAAAAATACAAGACAAAATTTGATGAAAGAGTTTGGGGGCTAATTAAAGTTGAGGGACTAACTACTAATTTTTTTTAAAAAAAATAGGGCTAATTATATATATATATATATAATCATGTTACCTTAAATTTAGCTCCCCAAATCTCCTCCTCTTCAGCAGGAACAGCAGTGATCTTGTTCTTGGGATTCTCATAGCTCTTAAGTTCTCCAATTGCTGTGGAGAAGAAACACCCTGTGGAAAAATGAATTCACTGCTTGTCAAATTCACTGTAAATGCTAAAAAAACATAAACGACTTGTTTTACTGAACTCACCTTGAGGGAAAGAAGCAAGAGATTTGCCACAGGCACCTTTAAGCAAATCAGCATTATCGGCAAAGGCCACGTATCCGTCGGCCGTGATTCCCCAATAAAGAGGTACCTTGCCAGTTTGATCCTGTCAAAATCATTCCATCACATGTTCGTTCTCGAGTTACTTGTTCGGGTCATTTCGGGTTCGAATCATTTTAAATTCGGATCGCTTTTGGGTGGCGGAACTTACCGAAGCCACAAACAAGGTGGAGGTGGCGTTGTCGAAGACGATGAAAGAGAAGCATCCGTCGAGATGCGCAACCATATGGTTGGGAGGGTAAGGTGCTCGGTCACGAAGAGCCTTGTAAGCTTCGATGACCAGCATCACCTCATTTGCTGATTTTGCAAGCCCGTATTCCTGCTTTAAGCTCCCCAAGTTATCGAGTGCACCCTCAAACAAGCAGAAGATTTCGTCTTTCACAGCGAATGATCTGCCATTAACCAACACGGCCAAAAACACAAAAGATTACCAACATGCAACCTACGCAATTTACATGTAGTATGTATACATGCAGAACATGCGAACTTAAAGAGTTATATTAAAATATTTTCCGGTGCGAGGTTGTTAAATTACAAGGGGTATATAAAATAAAAAATAAAAAACATAAAATATCACAGAATTTAAAATTTTTAAAGAATGTTACCGTACTTTCCTCGAAACATCCCTTTATTTATATATGTTTAGTTATTAATTATACACATGATAATCATCTAATCCACTTTTTCAAATAACAATAATTACCTATCCAAGTTCAACAACAGTATTCAAATAATTTTCCACTCCATTAATTATTATAACTACCAACACTAGCCCATACCAGATGGTCAATCAAAAACTATGGGCTCTTTTTGCAATTTCAACTCAATCTCAATCTCAATCAGAGCGAATAATATTCTATTGAATTTGAAAAATTAATTTTTTATTAGACTCAATACTAAAATAACTTATAATTTCATAAATTCGACTCGACTAAAAAAAATTCAAATAAATTTTAGGTTATAAAATAAAACTTCAATAACTCAATTTTTTTTGTAGTTGTTATATTGATTTTTTGTTCGATTAAAATCACTCAACTCTACATGATATATGTTTATTACATATATATATATATGATTATAGAAAAGTGTGTAATTTACATTCAGTTAGTGTCATTACATTATATATATTTACATTTAAATTGAAACTCAACTTGACTTTAAAAAATCCAATAAATTTAAATTATAAAATAAAAATTATTGATTCGATTAACTTAATATTCCAATAAATTTAAATTATAAAATAAAAAATTATTAATTCGATTAACTTAATTTTTTAACTTAATTCGACAAAATCAAACATTATCTTTGATCCCAAACATCAACATGGGTCCCAATCCAAATAGGCAATCCTTATCCTTCTACTATTATTAGTGGGATATTTTCCACCAACCCTATATACTAATCCTCCGGCCAAGGAGAAAGATACTAATCCAAACCTTAGGCCCATTGAAAATGAGGTTGTCTACTTTTCAATAGCACTAGGGTAGTGGACTACACTAACAAGTTACCATCATTCTCCTGGATGTTAGACACGTGTATGGCTAAACAGAATCTAGAGATTCCCATATTTGAAAGGAATGAGAACCTTTCCATCTGGATTCAATTAAAGTCGTGTTAAAATAGCCACACATACACCAATCACCGGACCCCACATAAAAAGGTTAAAAAGACAACACGACTTTTACGTGAGATGGGGTCATTATCTTGTTTGGTCCCCCCAAGAACAAAAAATCAAACCTGAATGTGCAATCACAGCCATGTTATCTCCCACGCTTCCCAATTCCATTATAAGAATTTAAAACTTCTCGATTTAACTAATCGTCTATTATAAGATATTTCTTAATTTGACTATTCAATTTTAAAGATATAAGAATATTAAATATTTTAAACGATCTCAGTAATTAAAGAGAATGTTTATCTCGAAATTCTTGATTTGAGTAACGATGCATACAAAATGTGTGTGCATCCATTGTCTCTAGTTAGATAATTTTGAACAGATATTACTTTATAATCACCCTAGACTAATTAGAAAAAGATATAAGATTATTGAAAATAATTCAAATCTAAATGTTAAGCTATTAATTTATCAAATTTCGAAATTAAAACAGGCCAAAAGAATAATTGTATCAAAAAATTAGAAGTTGAAATTTAAATAATCTAATTTTTAAATTAAGAAATCAAAAAATCAGTTAAATCTAAAAAATAGGCAATTGATTAAACTAAGAAAATCTAAAATTAATTAAACTAAAAAAATAATGACTTTCACAACTCATGTATTATGCTTTATCTGTCACTAAAAATTACAGTCGACATTTTTTTATTTTAATTTTTTAGTTTTAAATTTTTTAGTTTTAAATATTTTAGATATTTAAATTATTTAATTAATGTATTTAAAAACTATTTATTTTATAAATTTTAAAATGTATTTTTCATTAATGATATATTTAACATAATAAGAAATTAAATTTAAAAAGTTTTAACCACAAAAATTAAAATATGATAAATTTTTAACATGGAATTAATATTTGAAGTTATACAATATTATAGTTTTAAAATTTTAAAATATAAATAAATAATTAATCATTGAATATATATGAATATCAATTTAAAAGTTATAAATAATTTCATTATTATATAGAAATGAAAATTTAAAAAGGGGTAAATTACAGCAAATACTACCAAACATTAGATATTGTATCATTTATACCATTAGAAACTTTGATATTTGTTTTAATTATATCACTTAACCATTAAATCGTTAACAGTCTGATCAAAACGGCATCGTTTTGGTGATATATCTACATCAACAGTCATGTCATCGTGTCGTTAACAATTCAGTGGTATAATTAAAAAGAAAATCAAAACTCAATGCTATAATTAACAAAAAATGAAAATTAAGTGATATAGTTTGATGATATATGACGTAGTTTACCCTTAAAAAATAACCCGTTCAATTTCTATGGAAAAGTGTTAAAATTTTAATCTCAAGCACGTGATTGGTCGTTGATTCAGTTTTTCTTTCTTCAGGAAATGGATAAACACTACCTAATGCAGCTCATAAATCCGTTAATCTGATTAAATTAATCACAGTGATTCCCTCAGATCCTCGGTAAAGATCGGACTTAGAAGCTTGAGATTAAGTGAAAACAAAAGCCTACAAGCTTTTCAATTAGAACAACTTATTTTTCTTTTAAGTAATATATGCGAATAATATTATCCAAACAGATGAACACTTTTGATCAAATTAAGAAAACTCGAAGCTAGAGATGATGATGATAATCAAAGAAATTAAAGTTTTAAATTCGAATCGTTTTCATCGTGAACAAATTCGCAAGAAATGAAAAACACGCACACAACGATTTGTTAACCACTTGATATCAAATGATCCAGATCCAATAGCGAGAAGCCATATTTGCAGAAATCCAAATCTTAAATACGTCCATTTAATTTTAAAATTGAATGACATTTTACCTGGGCTGTAAAGCAGATTCGTTATGGTGCGAGTAAGCGAACTGGACATGGTCTCCGATCTGCATGGACACGGCGGAGGAGTTCGTCTCGAGGAACCGTTTCACAAGCGCGTCCGCCGATATCTTGGGCGACGGAGTCCGGCATCCGGCCGCCACCAGCTCGTCCGGTGGGGACACTATCGTGCTGCTAAACACTCCTAACATCTTTTTTTTTCTCTCCAAACGAAAATACTCCGAAGAAAAGGATCAGCACTATTTTAATGGTATTTTTTGGTCGGAACTAGAAGGAATCTATAAAGAGCTTGAGTAAAGGAACGAAAAATCAAAAAGGATAAATTACACCCTCCAGATCGTCCAATTATTAATAATATTATAAATTGATCACTACTTTTTAAAAGTTACAAACAAGACATATAATTGATCAATTATTACAAATAAGTCATTCTTTCGTCAAATATGCAATGGACAATAGCTTTATGGGTAAAATTGAGTGACCTGATTATAATAATAAACAAATCTAATGACCTAATCATTACGCAATAAATAGAGTGATTTAATTACAACTAAAGAGTTAACGTTCATTTCATTCCAACGATAACATGATTTGTTTATAATAATCGATTAATTTATAGCTTTTTAAATTTTAATAACTTATTTATAATGTTAATAATAAATAAGTGATATAAAATGTAATTTATCCAAAGCAAAAATACTATGGAGTTAGGACTCAATTCTATATATATCACAATCCATATTCTATTTGTGTGTATGTATATATATATATAACGAGGGCGTTATTGTAAAAACAAATACTCTTGTTCTTATTTTTAAACATTATCCTTTTTTTTCCTTGTCCCTTTTTTAATTATTACATTTCTTTGAACCTATTATTAGATTTCGTGATAAAAAATAGGGTTAAGTACACAAATATTATTTGATGATAGGATACTATTTTATTAAGTTTATTGACTATTAAAAGTTATAAAATGGTCACTAGACTATTAATTATGTTCTAAACTCGTCATTTTTTGTTAAAATGAATCAATATTTTGTGTCAAATGTTAAACTAATAAATGTGATATGATAAAATCTGATCTTAGAATCTCAAATGACTATAATATTTCAGTCATCATGTTAACGCTCAACTTAGACAACCACTAATTTTTAACGAAAAATGACGAGTTTGGAACATAATAAATAGTTGAGTGGTCATTTTGTAACTTTTAATAGTAGAGAGATTTAATAAAGCAACATTCTATAGTCATGGGACTTTTTTATAACTTTTAATAGTCGATGAACTTATTAAAGCAATATCTTATTGTTGGGGCATCGTTTTTGTACTTTAACGAAAAATATTATTCTTTTAAATTTTTATAATTTGACATTAAAAATATTTTTTTACATTTGTTTCTTATATGTAAGTTGTGAATAACTCAAGCATATTATTTACATATTTTATCTTATAATCCTCTAATATTATTAAAAAAATTATTACACTTCTTAGAATTCATTGAATGGTTTATGTAGTTTGATGAAGTGACCCGTTAGTAAAATGATTTAATTTTTATTTTAATCCTTACACTTTAGGCAAAATACTATTCTGGGTCTTTCTATAAATTCAAATTAGTTTAGGGATAACATTTTAATTTATCTATATTTAATAGGTTTTCTTCCCATCCTCATTGTTATTCCCCCTGCTTCTTCTTTAGACATCTCTACTCCATTGCTTTATTTGTTTTTTTTCAAGGACTCATGTTGTACTTCAAACACCATAAGTTGGGTGATCTCAGCTATACAAACTAAAATTCAACTTCCAAAGAATGAGATTGTAGAATATCAAATCCGACAAAAAACAAGAAGACAAATCAATGGATTCAAATAACCTAATAACTAGATTTCATTTTTCATGGTGATTTTCCCTTGAGAAAGCGCATATGGTGAAACATAATCAATAGATCCAAACAAACCGATAATTAGATCCGTGAATTCATCCACCGAACTCAATCCAAAATCTATGATCGTCAACGTCGAATCTTTGTTTTTTTTCCTCAAGAACAAGCAATTTTTTTTATACTAGATTCATATGAATCACCGTTAACCCCTACGGCCTGCGCGATCTGTCGCACCACCGCCATCGCACCAGCCTTTGAGTACTTCATTTTCGTGATGACCCGATTGAACAACTCACCGCTGGAGCAGAACTCCAATACTAAGTGAATGCCGGTTTGATCTTCGTAAACATCGTGGAGGCCGATCACGTTCGGATTCGATGAATGTTCTACACGATCTTTCGCATCAGTGGGAATTTATTGGTCAACAATACATCGAAGATCGAAACCTGGTACTGTGTCTTTAATAATGCTACCATTGAAGAAGCTCTAGTTTTCTCGGCTCGAGGCGGTGATTTTTAAAGTTTTAATGACAAATTCTTTACATTTTTTCACGATCTTCATTACTCTTTTTTATACCTTTTTTTACAATTGAGAACTCACCTAATTTGACTTCAAATAATTACAACTAATAATTAGAAATAATAAGGTTATTGCAATGGAGCAAATATGTCTGAAGAAGAAGCGGGGAGAAGATGAACTATATTAGGGGTTGGGAAAAATATTAAAAATAGATAAATAAAATATTATCCCTAAATTAAATTAAATTTACAAAAAAGACCAATATCAGTATTTTGTCTAAAGTTTATAGGTTAAAATAAGAATTAAATCATTTTACTAACGGGCCACGTTATCAAACTAACGACATTCAACCTCCAAGTTACTAAAACTTAATAAACTATTATGTAAGTGACTAAAACTTATATTTTTTTAATTTAGTGAATAAAATAACATAAATATAAAATAAAATTAACTAAAACTTACTCAACATAAAAATAATATAATTTTAATTTTATATATTTACGTGAACAATGTAGTGAAAGTCAAACTAGGTTATAAGTGGAGAGGTTGTCAAAGTTGCGGTCACTTCTTTTAATAACATAATAACACGGATCTCACTCTCAGCTTCTCTTCTCCACCAATCCACCAAATTATTTCTCCCTTTTCCCCTTCATCTAGTGTTCCAATTTATGACCAAAATCAACAAAGCACAAGGTACAATTTTCTCCCCTTTCTATGTTTTTACTTCTATAGCCCAGTTTATTCCTTCGATCATCGTTTAAATTTGTCATTCTTTTGATGATTTCTCTTAGCTATTTTCTTAAATCTAGAATTCGAGGAAGCAATTTGATTTTGCTTCGTAATTGACGCGGTAAGATGACCTATGAAGTAAGGTGTTGTATTAGGCGTGTTTGTATTGTGGTATTTTATACGTTTCTCTATGCCTGTTTATGTATTTTTTGTATGCTTACGTATGGGAACTGAATTGTAAAATTTCTGTGCTTGTTTTTGTTTTGGAGGTTTTATTCATGAAATATTCAAATTGAATTTTTGGATTGGTTTCATGCTTTGGGTTTCGAATTATGATTGATTATGTGATTCCTTGGCTGGCGAACTTGAACTTGCGGTAATTTTAAATATTTTTTTTGGGGGAACAGCCCCCGCCTAGGTTCATCCGCTGTCATATTTTGTGAAATCTACAATCAAACAACAGTAATTGAACTCTGCCATCACACAACAGTAATTGAACTCTGCCATCACTATTGCTTCATTTATCGTCAAATGTATTTAGCCATCTTGTCCTAGTTTAATCTGTTATCATATCTGTAACCAGCAAATGTTTAATCGAAGTTCGAAAACTTTTTTCTGTAGCTTCTATTTTGTTCGTTACAAAGAATAGCTAGATGCCACCATTAAAAGGTAGCTGTATGAACCAATTGAACCAAATCCTTGTTAAACAACTTGATGATTGGCGATGTAGGGAGTCCTGCAAGCCATTCATTAGCTAGAATTTTTTACCGTTGAGTTTTTACCGGTTAAATACCGGAAATGTCCACTTTTCTTACCATTTTCTTCCACTGCTGAGTATGAATTAGTTGGTAATTTGATTTCCTTCGAGATAAAGAGCGATTCATCTTTTCCGGGTTCTGGAAATCCATTTTTCTGTATTTATTTCTTTTTAGGATAGTAGTTATGGTGATGCAGTTGTTGAAACAATCTTCTGCCATCATTGTTTCCAGGTTCCGGAAATCAATCTATTTATTTTCTTTTATAAATGACTAATGGTTTATTAATTATTGCTTGGTACCTCCTGGTCAATCTAGATCAACCAGTATGGACCAACAAGGGCATGGGCAGACCTCTGCAACGGGCATTGTTGGTAGTGCAGCGGCGGTTCCGTATGATATAACAAGTTATCAATCTAATCAAATGATGGGAACCTCGGCTCCTGGATCCGCTAGCTCAATCCAATCCCCTACTCAGCCTGCAGGCGCATCTGCACCTTCAACTCAGCTGGCACAACACCAACTTGCTTATCAGCACATACACCAACAACAGCAGCAGCAATTGCAACAACACCTCCAGCGCTTTTGGTCAAACCAGTATCAAGAAATCGAGCAGACTACTGATTTTAGAAACCACAACCTACCATTGGCAAGGATCAAGAAGATTATGAAGGCAGATGAGGATGTTAGGATGATATCAGCTGAAGCTCCGGTAGTATTTGCTAGGGCCTGTGAAATGTTCATTCTAGAGTTGACGCTGAGGTCATGGAATCACACCGAGGAAAATAAGAGGAGGACCCTTCAGAAGAACGACATCGGAGCAGCAATTACGGGGACCGATATATTCGATTTTCTGGTCGATATCGTCCCGAGGGAGGATATAAAAGACGAGGTTCTTGCTTCTGTTCAAAGAGTTGGAAGTACAGCTGACCCTCTTGCTTACTATTACGTGCAACAATAATCTGCTCCCCAGGCCGGTGCTCCGGGTATGACTGTCGGTAAGCCGGTGATGGACCATGCCTTCTATGGCCAAAACCCTCACCCTTATGCTGGTCAGCCGGTGTGGCCTCCGCAGCAGCAGCAACGACCTTCGGACTCGTAAATGTAAACGTAACGGCTACTTAGGAGCTAGGACTGCAAGTGAATTGATCATCATACCCATAGTATCATTAGTATGTGATCGAATTCTACAACATATTAGTGCATTTCTATATTGCATTACAATTTAGTTGCTCCCTATATATATATATATATATATATATATATTGTGTAATATTTCAAAGATGCTTGTTTTTAATGTATATTTGAAGTTCTACGTATAACACAATATTTATCTTTTGGTCTGCCAAAACATGCTTTGATTTTTTCACAATAAATGCCAAATCCGAATCCACCTAATGCTATCCGACTCTTCTCGACTACGCAG